CAAGTGGTTACCCTGTACTTCCCTTTGCAAGTGGTTACCCTGTACTTCCCTTTACAAGTGGTTACCCAGTACTTCCCTTTACAAGTGGTTACCCAGTACTTCCCTTTACAAATGGTTACCCGGTACTTCCCTTTACAAATGGTTACCCGGTACTTCCCTTTACAAGTGGTTACCCTGTACTTCCCTTTACAAGTGGTTACCCGGTACTTCCTTTTACAAGTGGTTACCGGGACTTCCCTTTACAAGTGGTTACCCTGTACTTCCCTTTACAAGTGGTTACCCGGTGCTTCCCTTTACAAGTGGTTACCCGGTACTTCCCTTTACAAGTGGTTACACGGTACTTCCCTTTACAAGTGGTTACCCGGTACTTCCTTTTACAAGTGGTTACCGGTACTTCCCTTTACAAGTGGTTACCCTGTACTTCCCTTTACAAGTGGTTACCCTGTACTTTCCTTTACAAGTGGTTACCCGGTACTTCCCTTTATAAGTGGTTACCCGGTGCTTCCCTTTACAAATGGTTACCCGGTACTTCCCTTTACAAGTGGTTCCCCTGTACTTCCCTTTACAAGTGGTTACCCGGTGCTTCCCTTTACAAGTGGTTACCCGGTACTTCCTTTTACAAGTGGTTACCGGTACTTCCCTTTACAAGTGGGTACCCTGTACTTCCCTTTACAAGTAGTTACCCTGTACTTCCCTTTACAAGTGGTTACCATGTACTTCCCTTTACAAGTGGTTACCCGGTACTACCCTTTACAAGTGGTTACCCGGTACTTCCCTTTACAAGTGGTTACCCGGTGCTTCCCTTTACAAATGGTTACTTTGATTATAAAAGGATAAAATCTGTTTGTATATACAGTATGTGTTTCTGTATTGTTCTATCAGTTAATGCTTTTACTTCGTTTTTGTCCAAATAAACCCCTGTAAATCTTTGCTAGGATTATTGAAAAATTGGTTGATTCAATTTAAGTGTTAAAAAAGATCAGGTCGTTTTTAAAAACAGTTATGAACATTAATTCAGGTTTAACTGAAATGATAAATGTATCAAGATCTTGAAATGACAAATGCAAATCTTCTATAATTACAATCTAGTGAGAATAAGTTTTGTTATACAGAAGAGGAGATTTACAGTTACAATCTAGTGAGATTGTGTTTTGTTATACAGATGAGGTGCATTACTCTAGAAACTAGTGAGGAATGTGTTTTTGTATATTTTGTACAGATGAGGAGAATAAGGATGAGAAGCCGGGTACGAGGTACTACTTCCATGACGGACAGGAATGTTACATCATGGATGCCAAGTCTATGGGAAACATCGGACGTTACCTCAATGTAAGTCACTTGTGGGAAATGTTTTAGACATTGGGTGTAACTTCTTAGTAGGTTATATCATTATAGGAAACAGACCTTATCTCATTGTAAGTTACTTATCATAGGGAAGAAATTAAACACGGTGTGTAATAACTTCATTGTAAATTATATCATTATAGGAAATAGGTGTTATATCAAGATGAGGAGTTTAATTATTATCAGATTCTTTAATTATCAAGTATATCTTGTCAGTCCTTCATGTTACAGACAGACCTGTTATATTCTCAACATATTTTTATAAACTTAGGATACGCCTTAAATATCAGGCTCATACAATGATCTAGAAACCTGCTTTGAAGTAGAACACACTGCTTAACTCTTTCACCCCTATGTAACTTTGATAAACTCTACCTTGCATTGATCTGGATGAGTCCATTATGGTCTATAGTGGTGAAAGGGTTAAGTTAAGTGGCTTTGGAATCCCATCCCTTATAATTAAGTGACGACGTATTATTGACAGGAAATATTTTAAAAAGAAAAGAGAAAAGTTGGAGTGGAATCATTTATGAGAAAAAAATGAATTAATCTTCTATTTTGTTTAAACACATTCATTGCACTATAATAATGCCCGTCTTAATGACAAAGGAGAAACGTGTGTGAAAATAACAGATTGTTAACTTTGATTTGTCTGAATATCATATGTTGCTATACAAGACGGAGTGGTTGTTAACAATCGTTGTCAACGAGTGTTATTTACATGATTTAATGAATGAATTATGCTGTGTCGAGGAAATTTACTCCGTAAGAAATCAACTTGTGTTACTGATATGTTGTGTGAATTTCATGTACGAGGGGATTTTACATGGCAGCTTAACTCATTCACCCCTGAAATTGCATAATGAACTATTCCAACCTTTGATTTGGAAGAGTTCAATTGTGTCTTCAGGGGTGAATGAGTTAAGTACAGCATCAATTGAAAAATGTATCGGTACATGTAGATTTCATGTGTGGGTGAATTTTACATAGAAGTATACCGGAGAGTACAGCGTAAATTTGTACGCCTAATTATTTCTATGGCGACATTAGTGTATAGCATTCCTCTTACCTTTACAGCATAGCTGCTCCCCAAACGTGTTTGTACAAAACGTTTTTGTAGACACGCATGATCTCCGCTTTCCATGGGTGACGTTCTTTGCCGGACAGTAAGTGATACTGTTTTTGATACATTTTACAAAGATAAAGATATCATTATCAAACACTAAGATATGGTAGTTATTTAACTGTGTTTCTTTCTGAAGAACTGCCTTTCATGAAATTATTAAAAATTAAAATGATATCTGAGAAATGTAGTGCATTATTTTTCATCATAATGTGATAATTCATATTGCAATGAATGCCATTAACACCAGATGAGAAATGAATGGTATTTTGTGGTATTCCAGATACATCAGAGCGGGCACTGAGCTGACGTGGGACTATAACTACGAGGTGGGAAGTGTGCCCGGTAAAATTCTCTACTGTTACTGTGGGTCTGCAGAATGTCGCGGACGGCTCCTATAGATGAACGAGTTGTAGATTATCAAAAGTGACCTTCGCCGACGGCTGATCTAGATGTCACATACAGAAGTTAAATAGGTTCACTGGTGTCGGTCTGGTACATCTGTCAGCACTTCAGTAACCGTGATAACGACAGATTTGTACACATGTCGACGGTAGGGAAGATCAGTCACCCCTGGTGGATAGAATCACAGACCTAAAATCTTGGACCTATGTCCCAGTCCTAGGAACTGATCTGGATATAGAACAATGTGTATGTGGAGGATTATAAGCCAGTAAAGTTCATTAAGATACCAAATAAGGGTATGTATCTGGAATATGTTGGTTCAGATTTGTTCTCTGAAATTACATATTCCCAAAATTGAGAAAAGACTAAAAAAAATATGGCTGAAGGGCTAGACACCATGGGCTATAAAAGCCCTCCAAGTCTCCTTTGAAATAGGACCAATACATTCAAACATTCTCTGTACTTCCACAAGAAGGTTGGACAATGAAGGAAGTCAAAGGATTCTGTCTGAAATTTTGTGTAAATGCTGAGAATGAAAAGTGTTGTGTTTCAGGCAAAAGTGGTTTGAAACTCATGTGATCAAGAATGAACTAGTCAGTTTGTATGGGAGTGATATGTAGTCATGGTTTCCATAAAAAAGTATTGTCATGGAAACCAGCACATCAATAGATATGTTTCCCCTGCTGCTGTGGTTTGACTGTGTACAGGTAATTACACCCTTGTGTTATAAAACTGAGAAGAAAGGCTGATTGTTAAAAACAGGAATGAACACCCTGTTATGTTGTATGTTAGCTTTGTCTCAATTAAAAATTCTTGAAAATAGCCTATAAAGCTTCTAGGAAAGTTTAACCCTTTCACCACTGTAGACCATAATGGACTCATCCAGAGGAATGTATGGTAGAGTCTATCTAGGGATGAAAGAGTTAAAACAAATCATGTGAATTTGTTATAGATTTGTTTCTTTGAAGAAATTGTATAAATTGAGGTACAATCTGTAAAAACTGTAAAAAGTAGATTTATGTAGCCCTGAGTATGGGATGTTCTAGGTAAGTTTATCACAGCTGTTTGATATCAAATAGGTTTTCGTCGCTTATATCAGACGCTAATCCTGAACAGATAACTAGTGCTAAAGATTACTTCATTCAGAAGATGTACAGCTGACGGTAGAGTTGATGTTTACTTTACATTTGACACGTACACGCTTCTGTCATAGGAGGAGTTACAGATTTTAATGTTAAACTTATAATTGTGTTCCCTATTACTGTTTTTGATATACCTAAGGGTTTATCAGATTTCAAGATGTAAAAGAGACGGTCACACTTTATATTGCTTTGTTGTTTACCAGATCACATTTTTGTAGAAATCACTAGATTGTGATATAGAGGTTCCTATTTTACTATAAACTAAGAATTTAAAATGTCGATTGCAGTACTGTGATGCTCCAGGAAACAGGAAAGAATTAAAAGTTCACACTGCTCTGTCGGATGCTTTTGCTCATAATATACACAACTTCTTTAACCCTTTCACCCCTGTGTAACTTTAGTGGACTCTACCATGCATTGATATGGATGAGTCCATTATCGTCTATAGTGGTGAAAGGATTAATTTCTTATCGAGCCTGTTCAATTTGAAAGGAAAATTTAGATTATTTACCATTTCATCTTTACTTGGTCCAAACGTTTTTGTAAAGTTTTCAAAAAAATGGGGGAGGTTTGAACACTGGTTAGGAGTTTGTAACCATCTACAAATTTGTGCATACAAAGTTCACAGGAATATTTAATTATTATGTACAAATATAGGACCACAGGGAACCCTGATAGTTCTGTTTACCGTAATTTTTCTGAGACATATTTAAGTATCAGTGACGAAAGAGTGGGTTTAACCCTTTCACCCCTATGTAACTTCAGTAGACCCTTCCATGCATTGATATGGATGAGTCCACAGTGGTGAAAGGGTTAAGTGTTTAATGTTAGTATATAGTCCTTTGTTTAGATATTCTTTGTTAACCTGTTTGATTGTACATATCAGGACTAATATCATTAATTATTATGAACTAGAGGTTTCGTACCCTTGGAGATTCTATATGAAAAACATTATCTTTAGAATCTATTCATCCTGCAATCATTTGATATGTTGGTGTGAGGTTATAGATACAAGGGAGAGTTAACCATGGTCATTGGGACAAAGGGAGATAACCACAGTTATAGATACGAGGGAGAGTTAACCATGGGCATTGGGACAAAGGGAGATAACCACAGTTATAGATAGGAAGTGGAGTTAACCATGGTCATTGGGACAAAGGGAGATAACCCCAGTTATAGATAGGAAGGGGAGTTAACCATGGCCATTGGGACAAAGGGAGATAACCACAGTTATAGATAGGAAGTGGAGTTAACCATGTTGGAGTGAGGTTATAGATACAAGGGAGAGTTAACCATGGTCATCGGGACAAAGGGAGATAACCACAGTTGTAGGGACGGGGGGGAGTTAACCATGGTCATTGGGACAAAGGCAGATAACCACAGTTATAGGGACGAGGGGGAGTTAGCCATGGCCATTGGGACAAAGGGAGATAACCACAGTTATAGATACGAGGGAGAGTTAACCATGGGCATTGGGACAAAGGGAGATAACCACAGTTATAGAGACGAGAGGGAGTTGACCACTGCCATTTGGACAAAGGAAGATAACCACAGTCAAGGGTCCCCTTGGTTTGTCATTGGGACAAAGGGAGATAACCACAGTTATAGATACGAGGGAGAGTTAACCATGGGCATTGGGACAAAGGGAGATAACCACAGTTATAGATAGGAAGTGGAGTTAACCATGTTGGAGTGAGGTTATAGATACAAGGGAGAGTTAACCATGGTCATCGGGACAAAGGGAGATAACCACAGTTGTAGGGACGAGGGGGAGTTAACCATGGTCATTGGGTCAAATGGAGATAACCACAGTTATAGAGACGAGGGGGAGTCAACCATGGTCATTGGGACAAAGGGAGATAACCGCAGTTATAGGGATGAGGGGGAGTTAACCATGGTCATTGGGACAAATGGAGATAACCACAGTGATAGAGACGAGGGGGAGTTAACCAAGGTCATTGGGACAAAGGGAGCTAACCACAGTTATAGAGACGAGGGGGAGTTAACCAAGGTCATTGGGACAAAGGGAGATAACCACAGTTATAGATACGAGGGAGAGTTAACCATGGGCATTGGGACAAAGGGAGATAACCACAGTTATAGATACGAGGGAGAGTTAACCATGGGCATTGGGACAAAGGGAGATAACCACAGTTATAGATAGGAAGGGGAGTTAACCATGGTCATTGGGACAAAGGAAGATAACCACAGTTATAGAGACGAGGGGGAGTTGACCACTGCCATTTGGACAAAGGGGGATAACCACAGTCAAGGGTCCCCTTGGTTTGTCATTGGGACAAAGGGAGATAACCACAGTTATAGATAGGAAGGGAAGTTAACCATGGTCATTGGGACAAAGGGAGATAACCACAGTTGTAGTGATGAGGGGGAGTTAACCATGGTCATTGGGACAAAGGAAGATAACCACAGTTATAGAGACGAGGGGGAGTCAACCATGGTCATTGGGACAAAGGGAGATAACCCCAGTTATAGATAGGAAGGGGAGTTAACCATGGCCATTGGGACAAAGGGAGATAACCACAGTTATAGATACGAGGGAGAGTTAACCATGGGCATTGGGACAAAGGGAGATAACCACAGTTATAGAGACGAGGGGGAGTTGACCACTGCCATTTGGACAAAGGGAGATAACCACAGTCAAGGGTCCCCTTGGTTTGATAGATATCCATGGTTAAAAGGGGGAGGAGAGATAACTTGTGGCATTGATAACCATAGTAATAGAAACAATGAGTTATTTCAATGGCCAAAGCGACAAGGAAGATATGATATCATAGGGATTAAATAGTTAAAATGATCTTAGAATCAAGGCTATTACTGTGGTGCATGGGGAGATTGTTGTCACAGTGGCTAGGGGAAATCATGTTTACAGGGACAAGAAAGATAATCATTGCCTTAGACAAGAGGATATATTCATGGTCATAAGAACAAGGGGAAATAACCGTGTATAAAAAGGGAGATAATAATACCTATTATAGCTATAGAGACAAGTGGAGATAACCCTGGTCTCAGGGGTAGAGGATGATCGCTGGTATGTTGATAAGGTGTACAGGCATGCAAGTTAGAAATTTTTATCTTACAGAAGTGAAGATATTTTCCTTCTTTGTTTATTTGTAATTAATTGTAGTGAATGGCTTTACAGATGTCTGTGTCTGGGTATATGCTCAACTATTGCAATTGTAAAATAATAGAAGATTGATATTTTTGTACAATTTCTGAAGAAAAATTGGACATATTGCCATTGAAAATATATTAGCAATATTTGAAATATGATTTACGTATACGTGTCTTACAATTTGAATAAAGATTTATGAATACATAAGTAGTGTTGTTTTAGAAATTGTTCTCGTATGATATTTGAAAAAGAAAGGGAAAAAATGGGTACCTGGTAGATAGGCCTGGCAGTGAAATATTTCCGATCCACTAAAATTTCAACCTTGACCCTTGCAGAATAAATTGCTGTTATGGTATTGACTTTGTCCCGTTGCTGAAATATCATACGTATTCTGTTGCTAAGGGTTGAGTAGATTACCCATCTTGAATTTTGTCAACCTGTTTAAAGCAAAAAACTGTTGAAAATTTCGAAAAATATTATACATGGATTCATGTATCCCATTGTCAGAATGTCTCTCATTCTTAGGACGGCTACAATTACATGTTAACGATCAAATGCATATTTTAATGGTCTAAATTTAAGATTAGAGATTTTCTAATTACTGAATAGCTTGTAGTATATGCAAAAAAAAAAGAAGAATACACCTGCGGTTACCCACTGCATGTATCGTAAGAGGCGACTAATGGGTGAAACCTCCTGCAGAATTGTGGATTTGCTTTTGTACCCTCTATTTGGTGACACAAAAGCGACCAAAATAAATCTGCTACACCCAAACATTTGAGATCTCTATCTTTCTTTCTACTTCTAACTACCTTTTATTTCCTATCGCCAAGCTTGGCAATACCTCACTTCTGGCTTTCTAATGACGGCTACAATTACATGTTAATGATCAAATGCATATTTTAATGGTCTAAATTTAAGATTAGAGATTTTCTACTTACTGAATAGTTGGAGTATATGTCTATCCCCAGACCGGGACGTACCAAAGTTCTTAAACATGGTAGTTGTTATTCCCTGCCTAACTTTCAGCATTTAGGGTAATGGCAACAACTGGTTCAAGGAGGCAAGTACACGAACATACCCTGTCTCCAGCACACATACACACTTGCACGCATAAACAACACACATGGAGGCACGTCCTTAAATGACATTAGATGTTAATAGGACGTTAAACAAAATAAAACCAAACCAAACGCAATAAACCACACTTCACATACCAGATATCACAAAGTTTGTGGCGCATGCCATTTATTCTATATGGTGTGTCACGTGCTCTATACTGGGATGTTTTTTATACTATTATAATTAATTTAATTCTTGTTGTAAAAAGTATGTCACTTTCAAGATCTTGTAACCGTTCTTCGCTCAGTTTAGAATCTGATCAAGTTGGGGAGGAACGCATTTCTTTGGAACGTTTCTGTGTAAACTCTTGGTTCGTTAAGGGACATTCGATAAATAATCTGAAATAACACACTCTAGTCTACTGGTCATGAGGGGTAAACATGTCGCTTGACTAAAAACAATTGAGGAGTTTTATCAATTCAAACTTACACCAGATAACCTTGTGTGTCGTTTGGTTTGGTAAATAACGTTTACAATCCGTGCAGTGTAGAGAAATAGGGGTTCGGTTATTGTTTGAAAGGAGTGCGGGCACTTCAGTTTCATGAATATTAGAGACACTGTAGAGTGCAAAGAATCCTGGAGGTAGGTATGTTAAAAATGTTTTCGTTTAAAATAGACGCGTTATTTTTTGGAGCAAGCTGGTCACTGCGTCTATCCAGGTGTAACACATGTACGCGTGCGTTACACAGACCACGGACAGGTGCTAACTGACACGATACAGAGGCCAAGTACTGGCTGAACTCGACCGAACCAACCGGTAAAATGAGGTGTTTTTTTTAAAGTTAGTATCGTGGCACAGGGAAAGTGTTAAAAGGTTGGTACAATGCTGGCAGTGATGGCGTTCGAGGTCTTCTACGGGTTGTGGCGTCTCATTGGTGTTGCAACCTTAGTGCCCACTGGAGAACGAAACAATCAGTATGGCTCTAAAAAAACCGACCCAGAATTACAAAACTGGTGGTACATTGGTATTATTGTACGGAGTACAAATCAATTATAAATCGGAACTTCGAAGAAACCTACTGATTGTTACTTTTGATAAATTTTAAATGTATCGTCCGTCTGTCGTTTAAACTCTTTTAGCCGGACAACAACGTGAGCGCGTGCAGGAGTCGTTTACATCGTAACCAGACTATAACGTACATCGATGCAAGTGTCGTAAACATAAATCGATGAACATTACGTTTATTTGTGCACGTCCGCTATCTCTAGTTCTTAAGTCGGTAGTACAATGTGGCATTCATTTTTTTGCCATCCCCTTCAAGATATTGGTTAAAACATAAGCGTAGGATATAAACCGAGTGTCACAAGGGATATTCGAATTCAAAACAAACTTCATTACGGGCAGGTGCTGCGCGAGAGTTTGATGAAAAATGTAAACTTAAGATAACACATTGGTCTTACGCCTACAGCAAATACATTATCACATGGCCGAGTTGTTTAATGTTCTGCCAAGAAGGATTTTAGTCCATTCCTGTTATTTCTGTTTAAATTGGATTCCACAATGATTTTTACCAATAGACAAATGTAATAATGACATAATATGCTAATTTCTGCAGGTTTAGATAATGAGAATCACTTGCAGAGGTGTCCAATTGCCTATGGCTTCCGTCCCTACAATGTAAACTGTTTTACTGGGCGCATCATTTTAACAGCCACCTAGATATTCAAAACGTTGCTGAAACGATTTTGATGTTTATTTAGTTGTTGCTTAAATTATAAGGTAATAAACGCCCTCTAAATCACCTTTATGGCAAAACCATGTGTACGCACTTCTGCCAACTCCGAAAATAACACGACGACTCCTGTCTAACTTTAAACGGGACTACTATACCAATTGTTCAATAATCTAAATTTCTTGGTCTTATATTTGATCATTTTTTTTTCTTCAAGAAAAATCACCTCAGCTCTGAATTTAAGTCTTGTCTCATACAAATTGAGGAGCAGACCTCGACGTGCTGCTGAGTCTGTTTCGCTTATTTGTTCAAACAAACCAAATGGTTCAATAAAGTATAACAAGCTCAGAGAGGAAGTTGTCCTCTCGCGAGTGCGCTTAGACCACACCTACATAACAAACGTTTTTTTTTACGAAAATAAGATCAAACTTAAAGTCTTGGATGCGATCGGCCTTGTATAATTAATCATGTTATAACTGAATGTACCGATTTTGAATAAACACTTAAATATTTACAAACTACGTAAAGTTTGTTTGATACCAGTTTCCGTGTATTTTGTATTCATTGATCTTTACCTTGATACGTAATAAAGGCGCTTATCTTTCTGTGACACCTGGTCTTATTCTCCTTGTTCATTTTCCATGGTCTCCACGTAAACCTTTGTTCCTTTTTTTGGCTATAGTTTAATCGATTTCGTGTTCGAATTACGGATTTGCTGACCCTTCGGTATTCTCTTGTGTTTTATGTAAAAACCAATTCGTTTGCTTTTTTTAGCTCACCTGGCCCGAAGGGCCAAGTGAGCTTATGCTATGTTGCAGCGTCCGTCGTCCGGATGAAGGGCTACCAAGTTTGTTCAAATAAATGACCTTCACATATTTTCAAGGTCACAGGGGTCAAATATGTTAAAAACTTTAAACAACTTCTTCTGAATAACCAAAATGACCGGAGTAATTATGTTTGGCTAGTAGCATACTGGGATGAAGGGCTACCAAGTTTGTTCAAATGAATGACCTTCGTCCATTTTCAAGGTCACAGGGGTCAATTGTCTTAAAAAATCTTTATACAACTTCTCCTGAATAACTAAGAGGCCTAGGCTAATGATATTTGGCCAGTAACATACTAGGAAGAAGGGCTACCAAGTTTGTTCAAATGATTGACCTTGACAAATATTCAAGGTCACAATGGTGAAATATGTTTAAAACATTTAAACAACTTCTCAATAACCGCAAGTCCTAG